AATCAGTTTTAGAAGTTATACTGGCAGCTATAGTTATTAGACTTATCCAAGTGGGAAACTGTTAGATTAGGTGTCTAAGCCCATAACTATGATTGGTATATACTTGAATTGATAGTAGCACATTCCTTTTGGGTTGCTCTTAAAACTAGCAACTGGACATATGATTTTGGAGAATGAGGTCGAATTTATTATTTGATTAATAAATTGAAATATATGATTTGTTAGTATATTATGAGAATAATATATTAACTAGAAGTAGTAATATTTAATTAATATTTAATCAGAAATTAATTAAAATTAATTTTGGGATTAAAGGAATTAATTAAAAGTGCATGGATTGAATTGTAATTGTTTAATAGTTGAGCAAGAGGCAATCTAGAACCATCCATAAGGTGTGGACAGTTTCTTGGAGCCTAAAGGCTCTAGAATAATCCGTAATGGATAATCAGGAAAGTGGATAATTACCCGGTTTAAAATAATCTTGGATTTGGGCTTATCTAGGGTTTCCTAACTGCACTATAAATAGGGCATAGCCCTATAATTTTTAGCCAACTGTTTCTTTGGAAGACCTTGGTGAAATTTCTAGTCTCTCTCCTCCTTCTCAATCATCTTCCATAACTAGTATTCGGTGTGAACCATTAGAGGCGTGACATTTGTGATGCTTGCTCTCAAGGCTTCAACAACACAAGGATTTCGATCATTATTACTACATACTGATCAAGGTATGATTAATCTTACCCTAAGTTATGAATTTCGAAATCACAGTAGCATTCTAGGGTTTCATGATTTGTTGTACAAGTTGTATGTTTAATTAGAGAAAACATAGATCAAGTTATTTATGGTTGCATGCATACATAGGTTGTTTGTTATGCTCAAAACCCATCGAAACCAACTCCCTAAAGCGTAAAAGAAAATTTTACCCTTTTCTTACTTGTTCCATACTCAAGGCCTAACCCAAAATAAAAGGCCCATAATGGCAACCCAAGCCTAATATGGCCCAACTTCCTAATTTGGCCTAAAAGTTCTCATGGGATCAATACCAAGACAGTCCTCAGCCTAACCATGGTCCAAAAACAGAAGCCCAATGGCCCAACAAGGCCTAAATCTTAAAAAAGTAAAAAATACAAACCGAGGAGTACGCCCCGCATACCAGAATGGTACGCACCACATAATCCCCCTCAAAGCATATTGTACAAGTCCATAATGCCCAAACTCAGCATTACGCTAAGCGTATTCTTAAGTATGTCCTGCGTACTCCTCTAGCCACCTTTTCACTCCAATAAGCCCTTAACCAGTTAAGACAAAGTGCCAAACTCTCAGATCTAATTCTATAAGGCTACATATCATGTAAAGTTGGCAACTTTACGTGCTTGCATGACAAAAAGAGACTCAAAAGCTCAATAAGGACTTAACAAAGGTCTTAATGCTTGCATGGACCAAAATACACCATAAATCTTGCATTTTTATGAACCTTAGGACTGAATGTCACTAAGATCTAGCATCCATTGCTTCTGGAGTAGAACAAAAAGTCGTCTTTATCACAAAAGACTCCAAAATGCACAAAAGACTCCATGAACTAGATCTAACATATAAGATCATCAAGATAGAAACTTTATACCTCCAAAATGTAGATCAAGATGGAACAACTCTGGATCCAAAAGCTTCAAGAAATCCCACACTTCTCCAAGAATTTGCATCTTCTTCTATGAACACCAAAAAGCATGAAATACCACTAAAAGCTCAAAACCACTCAAATAGGGGATAAGGTTTCAATTATAGGGTTTATAAGGATGGATCTTGAAGATGTTAGGGTTATGTGATGAGATAAGGAGCTTAAATAGGGTCCACGACCCTAAAATTAGGTTTGGATCTGACTGGAGTACGCTATGCATAATTCCTGTACACCATGCGTACTCCAAACAAGATTCGCAACCAAACAACTTAGTACGCCCAATGTAAATCATGGTATGCCCTGCGTACTGCCTTAGCACTAATACGCCATGTGTACAAATGTGTATGCCCCCACGTACTTACTTTAACCCTAAAACCATGAATCTTACAAAGGTCATAACTTCTTTGTTGTAAGTGCGTTTCTAGCAATCCTTATATCCACGAAGAGGTAACAAGAAGCTCTACACTTTAATCAACTTATACTTGCCTTAAAACTACCCGATCAAAAATCTAATTTTTCATAAAAGCCCAAACTAAAACTTTACTGAAATATCCCTTGGCTCCAAAACACAAACCGAACTCCTGGATCATCCAAACTACATTACCCACACCCAAATAGGTCTAAATCTCTTTTCCTCAAAGGCCCTAAGCCTGATGATACTCGGTTTTTGGGTCACCACCCTGTATTAGGAAATGACTCAGAACAGGATGTTACAGATATTGTCATGTAGGCGTAGTACATTGGATATGAGATGTCACACATTCCTCGCCTTTCAACACACTCTCTAGCTTCTTGTATTTCAGCTTTGTTTTCACCCAATTTGCTTCCTTTCACTCTATCAACATTTATAATCTGCAAAATATCAATTCAAAACATTATAAACACCTTTTATCCTAAATTTGCATGAAAATATAGCTTAAATGTATATGATGTCGCATCGAATAATTGTGTAACATATACGATATCAAAATACCCCATACTTGGACTTCGTTTATCCTCAAGCAAACTAAAATCAATTCAAGTCAAAATTTTATTTCATACACAACCACTATTACAGCAAAACATTATTCATCAATGTTATGCAAAACAATTCAATTCAAAGATGTCAGTTTTACTTAGAATCATGCATATATTTGTGTTATTCCTAACAACTTCCAGAGCTCCAAATGCTTACACGCTTCATAAATGTCCATCACTCAATTTGAACATTGCTCACTTCAGCATCCACTACAAATATATCCTATAAAAATTCTCTAACCTCAATGTGTTTTTGTCAAGTTCCCAAGCTTCTTAAATGCAAAGAAAAACAAACATAACATAGAAAACAAAAACTTCAAACCATTAACTTTGACTTTCTGAACTTTTGGTTGTTTGCCTTGTTTCCACACTCTTTTCTTTATGTCTCAATTTTCTTTTCCTCATTCTTTATCGAACTGACTTGACTTTTTTTTCTTTTCTAAAACTCACTTTTTTGAAATTTTTTACATATAACTATAAATAAATAGACTTAATAAGTAATGTGTACTCCATGGCTTTTGATTGAATACTTTTAGCAGAGCAGTTCCTTAATTCGATGTGATTCAATATGAGTTCCTTAATTCGATCTGATTTAATATGCGTAAGATAGAATAGATGAAAATGAAACGTAACTTGGAGGATCTAAACTGAGTTTGACTCCACTCTTAACCTATAGTTAACTAAAATCAATAATAAGTAACTAAAAAATCTTGAGAATTTAACTTCAACCTATATTGGCTAATGATTCAGTCAAATGATCAATAACTCTTAAATAAATTTTCAAATGGTTTATTTACGTTAACAAAGGTAAATATATTATAACCCTCAAAATATACACGTGTCCATTGTTAGTTCATGATTTCACTAGAACTAAGAAAGCCGCATATATACAATAACATAACCACTAAGCAAGACCTTAGGACTTGTTTCATATTATTCTACACAATACTAACAAACTCAACCTTAGTGCAACAATAATAAGAGAAATTCTTTAAATTTAAGCTCAAATATCAACTAGTATGCAATTTCCTAATTTTCGATACCATAACCCAACACTTAAATCATACAATGCCCTTATTGTATGCAAAAATTAAAATATAGAAAAATGAGAAAAAGAAACAAACTCTCATGGGATATTAGTATCGAGGTCGAATCTGACAATCGGTGGGCAACCTTCAAAAGGTTGTGCTACAACAATGATGTGTTGAAAAACTAGAACATTGGATCTCGTGTACAAGTTGCTCATGCTAAAACTCAGTGTGAAACAATCAACAAAAGCATCTTACCATAAAAGCACATAAATATACGAACATGGCCGACACGGTGCATCATAGGGATGGAAACCTTAGTACCGGGAACGAAACTAGTGGTGGTGGTATTTCAAATAACAAAACAACGGAGAAGAGGTTTGTGAATAGAGAGAGAGGGGGAGGGTGGGGTTAGGTGGTATTTTATTTTAGTTTTTTCTTTAATTGTTATAAATAAAAGAAAATGAAAAAACAAAATTAGAAAAACAAAACCATCATTTAAAATATTTCAAAATGATTTGGACCAAACCTGCAATAAAATTCTTATTTTTGACAACTAGTGCAATCATAAAACTTTTTGAACCAATGTGATAAATTTTGGCAAACCACGATATGGACCATTTTTGCAATATTATCTTATCAATTTAATTCCACTGAGCGTGTAGATTTTTTTTTTCAACTCCATACATTCTTAATATTAATTTGATCTCTTCTAATTCTCAGTTTATGGAAAATACAGATTTTTCTAAAAAAGACTATGAACTTTATTGTTTTGATTTTCAGGTTAGTCGTCAAACTATAAACATGTCAAATTAACAAAGTGAAACGAAAATCAGCAGTCTTTCTGCTTTCCTGTCCACCACATAAGAATTGCCGATCAAATAGCAAATGGGCTTTTTAAACATAATTTAAGGTACAAGAAACGGAAACAAATTCCATACACCAACAAATCAACATAGCATATTTAGTATTTACCCAAGTTTAATTAACACAAAAATAGAAATGATCCAACACTATTTACAAGAGATGGCCTACACGTCATTCCCTTGTCTGATAAAAAAAAAAAAGTTATAGGAAACAGCCACACCTTCAAAGACAACGAATCAAAACAACAATTAGTAACTTAAAATGTAACATTCACAATGATTTTAATGAAAACCATTTAAGCAAAGAATGACAAATGATGATTAAAAACATATGAGGAAATGTTTCTTCTACTTTATTTTTGATATATATTCAAAACAAAAAACAACGTTGTATAACTTACCAACAGCTTAGATAGGTCAATAATCATCCGAATAATTGACTATCATATCTTCTAAGTCCACACCAGAGTTCCAAAAGTAATGATTATCTTCACATCTCTTGCAATCGAGATCATATTCACGATAGTATAAACATCCTTTAAGAGAATCATTGGGTAGCTTAAGACATTTAATCTTTTCTGAACATTTCATCCCCAACTCTCCCATGAGATCTATGTACAAGCACTCACGCAAATCAAGTGATTCAAGATGACAACAACCATCAAGAATCGCCTGCAACCCAATATTTGTCATGTTGTTTCCAATGAGTTCAAGGTGCCTTAACTCAGGTAAGTTTTCTCCGATAGCTACAGCTGTCCTATTACGGATCATTAATGACTTCTCATTGATGCGTCCATGCCACCATTGACAAGTTTCTTGATTCAGTTTCAGTGTTTTTAGCATTCGGCAACAACGGCTAGCTGTTTCAATTACTTCTGTTGAGATTTTTATTTTGTAGAGATTGAGTTCCTCCAACAGTGGAAATTTTTTCAAAGCTCGGGTCAAGTTTCAATTTCCACTGCGTTTGCAACTTACAAATTCAAGCCGTTTGAGCTGACTTGATCTGTTAAAAGACACAAAACCGTAAAAACCCATAAGGAGAGGAAAATGAAGTAAAACTAAGATTGTGTTTGGTTATGGAAAATTGTTTTTATTTCTCTAAAAAAACATTTATAGAAAATAGAATTGAGTTTTATTTTTAGTTTTTAATGAAAATTTTAGAAAACGTGTGTTGTTGAACAAGTGGAGTTTCCGTTTTCCGGTTTAGAAATTTTGAAAACTTTGGAAAACTCTAAAAATCATTTTTATAAATTTACATACAATTTGGAAAACTGAAAATTTTCATTTTCTTGGAAAAAATTTGAAAACTGAATCAACTAAACCTATTTTCAAAAAATTTCATTTTCATTTAAAAAATTTCATAGAAAACTAAAAATTCTCGACAACCAAACACAATCTAAGGGTGTGTTTTGGTTCTAGAAAAATGTTTTCATTTTCAAAGAAAATGTTAGGGTGCGTTTGGTTGTGGAAAATTTTCCAGTTATCTAGAAAATTTTTCCAAGAAAAACAAAAATTTTGAAAATACGTTTAATTCGTTTAGTTTTCCAAAATTTTCCAAAAAAATGAAAATTTTCAGTTTTCCAAATTGTATGTAAATTAGAAAAGTGATTTTTACAGTTTTCCTAATTTCTAAGATGGAAAATGAAAATTCCTTAAGTTTCAACCAAACGCGTTTTCTAAAATTTTTATTGAAAATTGAAAGCGAAAACTCAACTCTATTTTCTGTAAACATTTTCTTAGAAAACGAAAATAGTTTTTCACAACCAAATGCACTCTTAGTTTTTATTTTTACCTTTTAATGAAAATTTTAGAAAAAACATTGTTGAACCGGTGAAGTTTTCATTTTCTGTTTCAAAGAAAACTTTTTAAAACCTTAAAAACCACTTTTACTAATTTACATACAATTTGAAAAATTAAAATTTATTTTCTTTTGGAAAATTTTTGAAAATTGAATCAACGAAACACATTTTCAAAATTTTCTTGCTCATCTGAAAATTTTAATGGAAAACTAGAAATTTTCCACAATCAATCGCACTCTAAACATCTTTAACTTTTATTATAAGCACAAAATAAGCTCAAATACCTATCAGCAACATACTGAAGAAGCTCATCACAAGCAAAATCTACAATGGTGATATCATCCAACTGGCCTTGACTTTGATCCATAGCATGTTTAAACATCTCCTGAATAAGTTTATCATAAGCAAAACCCACAACTTTGATATCAACCAGCTGATCTTGACTTAGATCCATAGCATGCCACCAAATCTTCTGAATAAGTTGCTCATAAGCAAAACTCCCAACTTTGATATCAAAAAACTGCCCTTCACTTTGACCCACACCATGTTTACGCATCTCTTGTAGCTGTTCAGATAGACCTAAAACTTTCTTCATATGAATAACCCTCCACATTGAAGGGTCTTTGCAGATTTTATGCCATGTAGTGCAAACTTTCTTGGCATTCTCAAGTATATCAACAACACCAACTCTGTATAGAATGTTCGCCATTACATCAGATGGAAGCTCCAGCCAATTCCTTTCATGTTGCTTCGGTTCTGAAACAATCATTTCTGCCATTTCTAGCAACAACATTCCCAAAAATGGTCAAGAAAAAAGTCGACAACAAGTTAAACAACTTTCTTGGGTTTTTTTGGATTGGATTTGGATGTAAATAGCACATAGCATTAGCACTAGCATATTGAAAGAAACAAAATCTTAAATTTGTGTATGCATTTATAAGATATTATAGAAACTTATTCTAACATATTTATATATTTAAAAAAAAAAAAAAAGAACAAATGGTAACAAATGAACCTAGATGGTTTTCAATGTGAAGATCAAAATCCTACTGTACAGCAGAATGCGTTGCGTTTGCAAACTATATATATATATATATATATATATATATATATATATATATATATATATATATATATATACACAATCAATCAAAGCAACTACATGTTACTAAAAAACCATTAAGCTTTATAAAAATAATTAACCTTGGGACTGGAACAGAATAATGATTTAGCATAAGTGGTCCAAAGATATAATTACAAATGAAAGGAAGGAATTATCAACAATCGATAATAAGCAAAATTGAGAAACTCTTATTAAAAACCTAGAACTACTGATACTCGAAAAATGAGGAGATCATCGATTAAAATATCAAGTATTTTAATAGACCGAAAACAAAGGACAAAGAAGGATAGCTGCACACTCGTCGTCGACTAACCAGAGACGTAAAAAGATGGCCGTCGTCGACCTTGTCACTTCGATCACTCGACAGTCCCAACCGTCCAATGACCGGAGAACGGCCCACTTAACAAAAGAAACTGAATGCCGATGAATTACAGAGCGTCAATTCATCGGAGACCCAAACGTTTTTCGGCATGGAGAAGTTAACCCTAGGCATAAGCTCATCACATATAGCCAGAAATTTTGTATAACGTACTTGCCTAATAAGTAATAACCTTACGTGTACGAAACTGTTCCCGCCATATGAAATGGTAATTCTTTGTGAAAAATTTAGGGTGTGTTTAGTTGCGGAAAAATGAGCCGTTTTCCGGAAAAATTTTCCAAGAAAAATAAGAATTTTGAAAACGCGTTTAGTTCGTCTATTTTTCTAAATTTTTCACGGAAAATGAAACTTTTCTGTTTTCTAAAATTACAAAGAAGATGGAAATTTTTGGAAAACTAATAATCATTGTTTTTCACATTATTCTAATTTCAAAATTTTTCTAAAATATAAACACACACCCACTCCCACCTCATCCACCTCTATCTACCCCCACCTTAACACCCCCACCCACACACACATACATACCCCCCCAACACACACACACACACACCAACCCACAAACACACACACACATACATACGCATCCACTCACACACCCACTCAGAAACACACACACACACACATACATACTCATCCCCCACACACACACCAACCCACAAACACATACATACACACACATACATACCCATCCACTCACAAACACACACATACATACCCACCCACACACACACACCAACCCACAAACACACACACACACACACATATACATACCCATCCACTTACACACCCACTCACAAACACACACACACACATACATACATACACACACACCCACATACACACACACCCACAAACACACACACACATACATACCTACCAATACACCCACACCCACACACACACATACCCACCCACAAACACACACCCACACACACACAAACCCACACTTACCCCCACCCCCACCTTCACAGAAACACACACCCCCCCACCCACACACAAACCCACACCTACCCCCACAAACACACACTCGCACACCCACCCACCCAACCCCACCACAACAAGCACTGACCTACCATCACCATCCCCACCACCACCACCACTAACTCATCACTAGCACCACCACCATCGCCGTCGCCGCCATTACCACCACTGACACAATTGCCGCCGCCACCACCATGGCCGCCGACCCGCTACCGCCACCTCCCCCACCCACACCCTACCACCGCTACCGTTTTCTAAAAATGAAAACTGATAGAAAAATACACATCTAAACACGTTTTCTAATTTTCTAAAACTGGAAATGAAAAATGAATAAATTTTAACTAAACACGTTTTCTAAATTTTTCAATGAAAAATGAAAACGGAAAACGAAAATCGAAAAGGGAAAACAAAAAACGGAAAATGAAAATTGTTTTTCCGTAACTAAACGCAACCTTAACTTTTTAGCCATATATATGCCAAGACATGATTAAATTCATTAATTAGCGAAATCTCTAATATTTAATTTAATAGTTCAATATAACTATAAAATTAGATTTGCCGTTCACAAAAAAACTTTAAATACATAGATATTTATAAAAGATCTCAATAAATTACAAACTCTCATGTTGAGATCCACCTCACGTAACACCATCAAGATATATAAAATCACTCACATAAATCAACATACATAAATTCTCTCACCGGTTTGAATTTTTGTTTGTTGCCTTGGTTGCATGGTAAACTCATCTTTGTTATAACACTTATTAATTGCAATTTATGTTTCACTAATATTGTTATAACTGACGGTCTAATAATTTGTAGATTCGGACGATTTTGCACTACACTTGACCGCTCTTGTTCATAGATAGTGAATTGTTGGAAACCCTACAGTGGTATCAGAGACTAGGCTTGTTTTCTTTTTATACTTGATGCAAATTGTTGGAAAAATTCGAAATTCTGGTCACTGCCCAGTTGACTCGCCGAGTCCATCTTGAAACTCGACGAGTCCAAGAGTTTCTTCAACCAACTCGTCGAGTCAGTTCATGCACTCGACGAGTTGGCAGACCTGAGTGCAAATTTTCAAGTTTTGGTGTTGGATTTGCTTTAGAATCATTACCTTGAACTGCTTTGGACTTTTAAAACCTATTTTTTTTAATGTGGTAATGATTATGTTAAACCAATTTCAAAGTTATAATCAAAGTTTCAATTTTATATATGTTTATATGATTTTTGAAAATTGTTGATTATGAATGTTCATGCTTATAAGCTTTGGTAGATCATAGGAATTATATGCAAATTGTTTGTTAGTGAAATTCTTGATCTTAATAACATTAAATGGAAAACCAATATATATATATATATATATATATATATATATATATATATATATATATATTGTGTTACTTTGTTTTATGAGTTAATTTAGATTAATGAAAAAAATTATGTGTTTGTTGTTTTCAATCCAAATTGATCTAAAAATAGTTCATAAAATGTGTTTTTGTAATTTGTCCTCAAATTATATGAAAAATCGCATTTATGAATCTTAAAACTCATACAATTGTCATATGTTACAAAATGAAGAGTCTTTTTCTCATAAATAGTTTTTATGGACTTCATAATTTATCCTCAAGTTATGGATATTCAAGAGTCTCTATCATTAAAGTCTTTAAAACTTTAATTAAACTCATAAGTTATGAAAATCCAAGAGTTTTGAAAAGTTTCAATACTTTCCCTCAAGTTTTGGAACTTATATAGTTACCCCCTCATGTATACTTTAATTCCAAATCAACCCTTAGAATTTTTAACGTTTAAAATTCAACCCTTATACTATTACAATATTATAGGTTATATATATAAGAGTAAAGTCAATCTTACCGTTAGTAAGCCTCATTCACGAAGTCAGTCTCTAAGGGGTATAAGGTTACTACCTATAAAATGGCAGTTTAATGGGTGTCCACTCTCATCCACTACTTCCTTGACTGGTGGAGGTTCGTTAGCCGAACGGGTAGGAAATGACTATAATTCTCCTTTCATTAAAAGTATAATGATAAATACTAAGTAACTAAACACTTATAAATTCTCAATCTTAGTTACTTAGGAAAATGTGAAATGGTGCTAACCCATGACATTACACTTTACACCCTTGTTGAGTCGTTAGTGGAGCGTGTGTGGTTAATCGGCACACTAACATGGGACTGACATTGTGTGGCAAAGGGTGACTTCAGTTTTATCATAGATCGGTGGAGCGTGTGTGGTTAACCGGCACATCAAGTGAGTGATAAAATTAAGGGTACCAAGTCAATTTGCATGGTTATTCACACCTTGTTTATGATCATCGGCATCCCAGTCACAAACTTGATAAGGCACAATCGAGATTTAAACATGCTAATGAAAGTTCAATGAATCTTAAAAGATCTAGGAGTTTCAATCCAATTAAAACTTAATAATTTATTTTGTTTTTCATGGTGGAAATTAGTAAATCGTCATTTACCTACGTTCAAATATTTTGTAGCTTGGATTATGGCATCCCTATTCCAAGTTATAAAATAGTTTGTTGGGTCCTAGCCTTAATATTGCATATTAGGTGTTATGTTAAGGACTTAAATCAACTTAAATTTGAATTTCTCCCTCATAGATGTCTAAGTTCAGAAAACTATAGTCTTCCTCAGCCTTTTGGATAGAGCTTTCCTAAAGAAGATGGTATCCTAAATGACAATCAAGGTGTAATATCAATCCCTTTATTGTGCATTAATAGGATTGGACATCATACTTCACTTCCTCCACCTCCTCCAATAATTCTCCATGACCCACAAGTTCAAGGTCACTCAATCCATATTTGGCAAGAAAGGTTTATATGTGCTTGCATCTTGTTGTATCATTCTCACTGCTTCCATCTACATCCCTATGATGTATTTGCGGTAGTAGGTAATCACAGATTTGGCACGATCATCACGTCTATCCTTAGAGTATATAGGGTGTTTTGGTTTGAGACCCTTAAGTATCTAGCGGTTTTGAGGGTTCGGTTGTGCATATAATTGAATTTATGTAGTAATATGAAATAAAGGTAGCACATAATTGTTCCATTGGTAAGTACCATCTTAGTACACGAAAGAGAGTCATATTGGATAGTGAGGGGGAAAAGAAAAGGGTTGATTCTAATAGTGGAGGAAAATGTCTGGTGGTGGTGTTGATGAAGTGGATGCACCTCGGAGACGAGCTACTTGTTGCTCGGTATCTCGTAGTCGTACTTCTCAAACTAACTGTCTCTCTCGGGAGTCTCTGTTAACCTCCTGTGTTTGTCTCT